GGAATAGAAGAGACGGCTACATTTAACAGTTTCGACAGTGAAAGAGTGAGAGCGAGATTCCAGTCTAGTTGAACGCTTAAATTCAGGAAGTCTGGGAACCAGCGAAAGCAGCTCGTCGGAGCAGTTACCGTGAAAGTATTTGTAAAAAAGACAGAGGGGGGCGACAGCACATCTGTGAGAGAGCGACTGTAAACGGGATGCCAGGCAGGGCCAATTATATTGCATATCCGTCTCTGGATTTTGTCAAGGATATTGAGACAAACAGAAGGGGCCCCAGACCATATATGGCAGCAATACTCCATGCAAGAGCGAATGGTTGATTTGTAGATTTGAAGGATCGACTCCGGAGAGAAAAATTTCCTAGCGCGGCACAGGGAGCCAACTTTCCTTGCGGTGGACGAAGCTATTGACTCAACGTATTTGTTCCATCTCAGGTCAGCAGTCAACGTGAGACCGAGCAGTCGCAAAGAGGTGCTCTTGTGGAGTTGAGCGTCAGACATTCTCATGAAAGGCAAGGATGGTTCTTTGTGGTGATTAATAGAGAGCAGTTTATGTTTCAAATTATTCTAAATCCTCGTGTGTCTTTGATAATATAGCCTGACATAGCCCAATCCTCATCAGGCTGGTCTTGAATTCTTTTCTTTTTCCTAGACTGGTTGCCGCCTCGTGGCAAGAGAGCCCAGTCTGTCCTCCTATTTAACCCATAGATGAAGGAAGATCGACCCATGCAATTTCCAAGGGCATTAGCAAGAATTGGAAACAGTATGCCTAATTCACTTTCCGCGTCGATATCCGTTACACCATACCCCAGTCAGACAAAGGACTATCCTTTCTACAAAGGTCAACAGAAAAAGAAGAATTATTTACACCAAAATGTCTTGACGTAATATTCTCGAAAATATTGCACTGGACCCTGCCTCCTACTCATCTATATCTATAAAATAGATGTCTGTGTGTGCGTGTGTGTCTGTCTGTATGCTATTTATACACGTCCACATTTCTCGACCGATTTCGAGGAAATTATACACACTTATTGGAAATTTACTATCTTAAGTCAAGACTAAGTTTTCAATCTCCAGGCCCTACGGATTTGGCAGAAGAAAATCAATAAAACTGACGGTTTGCACGATTTTTTGCAAAAGCCAAGGCAAAGTTACACGAGAACAAAATTTTTGCTGGATGAGCTGATGTTATTTGCACTTAATGCAAAGCAGTTCATCTTACGAGGTTTATGTAGAGTGTTTGATAGTTTTCCTGCGACATTGGCTTCATACAAAAATTGCAAATAACTGAAAAGATCGGGTCTTTTGGACTATTTAAAATAAAAACTTCACTGACTTCCTCATTTTTTATCCAATGTTCTTCAAGCATGTCGCAAAAATTCATCATCATGCAAGAAATAAGATAGTTTTAGTCCTGCGTATTACGAAAAACTGTTCAAAACTGTTCAAAAGTTTTTCAGCCATAACTCCCTGTTTTTTCATCCGATGCTTTTCAAATTTGTCATGTAAATTACATATGAGAGACAAATTGACCTGCGCGAATGTATGGCTTAGATTATTTCAGTTAAGTAGGCGAAATCTCCAACAAACAAGGTCATAAATCGCCTTTTGCTATTTAGCCAATAGTTTCTTCATATGATTCCATCAAAAATTGGCTTTCAAACAACCTTTGATGCAAAAATTGTTTGAGAAGGATTATTAAAACCCTTAAAATGAAAAACAAATTCCTGAAGTACCTCTAATTAAACCCAGCTTTGCAATAAACGTGCGAAGAAGTGAGGCGGGCGTTCATGCGTTTGTACTGACGCTTCATCACTGTTTTTGTTTGATTATTAGATTTGAGAACAATGCACATACTATTCGAAAGTTATTATGACCATAGGGAATTTACTGAATTTACTGAGCAACGACCACACAAGAAGATTTTATCGATGGAATTCCTTTATTAAGAACAATCACCATTGCCAAGGACATACTGTAAAAAAGATGGGAGTAGCTTAGTATACCAAGCAGGGACAAAAGCAAACATTTCTAGAGAGTGTGAGTGGGTATACAGGGTGTCCGGTTATATATAATTGCAGCCATGTACAACCGGACAACGCCAGGTTACTTCGGCTCGTGAGAGAATAAAATGTAATGTCGGTATGGTGACTAACGTGACAATTTCTCATATGTATTGTTACATTTTATTCACATCCAGACTTCGACAAATACAATCGGCTAGTGTGTGTGTGTGCATTTGTGTGTGTGTGTGTGTCTGTGTGTGCATTTGTGTCTGTGTGTACATTTGTGTATGTGTGTGCATGTGTGTGTGTGTGTGTGTGTGTGTGTATGTGTGTGTGTGGTCCCTACATTACGAGTAATTTTGGGAAAATAAAGACGTATTTTCGCTAATATTCAAAATCACTTTTCTTCGTTTAGGTTTCTGCCGTGGCATTTATGTCGAGATTAACATAGATCTTCGTCTGAAACCAATTTAATATACCAGACTGCTTATGGATTAAGCTGTTGAGGACCTGAAGGAAATGAAAAAAGTCGTGGTGGGAACACCGGGGAGTCCTTCAAGAATTTGCTGGAACGTTACAATAAGGGCACCGTCAGGAGATCATACTTTAATCGAAAAGAGAGTGCTGAAATGTCTTCAAACATCAATGCCAAGGTTAATATCAGCCGTTTACTTTTAAGTAAACATTCGCCATTCACTGACCAAATAAAATTCCTTCTCTTAAAACATTTATCCAGGAAAATAAGTTTCTCAAGTCTGTTATTGTTCTTTCCAGTATTTATGGAGGCTTCCTTCCTAAACTTTTGTTTGACTTAGTATGGAGCGTTAATATCTTGATGATGACATTACTTTCTCTTCAAGTTGCAGGTGCTATCCATTTTAGGTGTTGCTGCTGTTGAAAGTTCTCAAGTCATGTTTTCTGTTATTTGGAAATATATTGTTTGTGATTATGTAGCGCCAGTTCACAAGAACTCGCCAAGATCTACAGGTTTCTTTCGCTCAAAATCATTTTAAACCATTGGTCTGAGAAAGTATACATCTAATTGTTTACATGTTTCTGAACGAGTTAGATGCCATACTTGACACCGTACAAAGGTTTCAATCTGACGAGGCTATTTAAGAACATGACTTTTTAGTTAATGTTTTGGTAAAGTAAAAAATTGCGGTGTTGGGCGAAAGTACTTTTAGAGCAAAATATTTTATGATCAATTTCCTTATTTACGATACTAAATTATGTTATAGTAGACGAACGTCTAACCTGAAAATTTCGCAAAACATCTGCACCTTGTATATTGGCTGGATTCTAGTAGGTGTGATATTTATGGGAGAGTTGCATACCCAAGTAAAAAGTGAAGATCTAGAGATATAGATGCTAGTTTCATATCTTGGGTTTAAGAGCAATGGATTTGAAATGAGAAGCTTTAGGTTCGATTCTCATTAAGTGCTGTATCCTTAAAGAAGGTTACAAAAAAGACAAAAGTGATACTCGATGGAAGGGAACAGCAACACGGGAGTAGGTGAAAGAAAAAGAGGTTTATTGTAAAAGAGAATACGCTATTGAAAGACAGGGAATCGGATGGCAGGCTAATCATTCCCGAAGCAAGGATAGCTACCAACCGCCCCTCGCGGACAGATGTGGCATCTGGAGTGCATCTTGTATATTGGCTTACCTCTAGTAGGTGTGATACTTAACCCTAGAACACTAACCATCAATTAAAGTTACATAACTATTAACCATGGGTATATCATAACCGATTTTGAAAATATCAAAAAAATATTAAATAAAAATCTTTATTTGAAATATTTTACGTGCAGGCACTTCAAACTTTGTACTTTGAGTTAACATTAATAGGAACTGAAAAACATATTATTTAGTTAAGAAAATCAGGTACTGAAAATTGTAATTAAAAATAGGAAAATTTGCGCTGGGTACTATATACCCATGGTTAGTATTCTAGGGTTAAAGATTTGCTTACCCAAGTATTCATTCACCCCTTTTCTTCTCCATCAATTCTCGTGGTATGCCAGTGACAATAATTTTTTTTGTTTTTTGTTTAAGACATCCAGAAAGGAAAGATAAACCAGCTATAGAAATTAATCCTTCCCCTAAGAGTATTACGACTGAACATAAACAGACTTACTTTGAACTCAGATTCTCTTTACCGAACCGACAATTGTTAATCTACGTTGTACATTCTAAGATCTCGTCTATTCACAGAGTTGTTCAATTCAGCACTGTTTCTAAAGGATCTCGCTCGGTTATTTAATGCTTTGGGGCAATCAATGGAAAGTAAGATTGGCTCATAATCAGTCAATAAACTTAAAGGGCGTAGTAATCATTTGATCCATTAATGCAGTGATTCGGTCTCGCCATGATTATTGTCAGAGATCAAGTTCTAATCTGTCCTAACGACATGTCAATACTGGATTTGCTTTAAAAGCACGCGAACAGAGAATGCGAATGTTTAGATTTCATTTGACTTGACAAACGAATGACTAATTGATGATTTTTTTTTTTTAACTAAAACTAGTCGTCGGCAGCATCAAACGTCGCATCCATCCCGATTTGTCCTGTAATGCAAAGTAATGAAGTGAAATTAAATTGCTAGGAATTAACAAGTGCGACACAATGATGGTTTCCTCTTTTTTTTAAGTTACTGATAAATATTTTAAATGTATGGAAAAGGATAGGCACTGAGTAGAGATAAAGAAAGAAAGAAAGGAAGAAGATTGAAAGAAAGAAAGAGGTATAAAAGGAACACTCGAAAGAAAACGAAGAAAAAAGTAAAATTAATCATTAGAAAGAAAGAAAGAACGAAAGAAAGAAACAAACAAATAAACAAAGAAGCATTAAACGAAAACTCAAAAAAAGCATTAGAAATAAAGAAAGAAAGAAGATTAAAAGAAAGAAAGGAATAAAGAAAAAAAGGTTAAAAGAAAGAGGCATTAAACGAACACTGGAAAGAAAACGAAGAAAAAAACGAAATTAAGTATTAGAAAGAAAGAAAGAAAGAAAGAAAGAAAGAAAGAAAGAAAGAAAGAAAGAAAGATACATTAACCGGAAAACTTGGAAAATGAAGAAAAACATAAATTAAGCAGCAAAAAGAAAGAAAGAAAGAAAGAAAGAAAGAAAGAAAGTTAAAATATTCAGAGAAGCAAAAAACGGAAGGAGAACGAAGGGAGGGGGGAAGTGAAAGAAGAACAATGAATGAAAATAATGAGTGGCGGTAATCGATAAAATTGAAAGCATTTAGGATGGAATAATCTAAAGGAGAGTGGGAGAATAAATAAAAGAATGAGGAAAGGAAAGGGTGTAGTGGATAGAGAAAATAAAACTGAGAGAAAGAAAGAGAATGAAAAAATTGTGGGGGAAAAACAAAAGAGAGTGAGCATAAGTGGAAAAGCAAAGAAAGGCCCAGAAGAAAGGTCAGAAGAAAGGCCCAGAAGAAAGGTCAGAAGAAAGGTCAGAAGAAAGGCCCAGAAGAAAGGCCCAGAAGAAAGGTCAGAAGAAAGGTCAGAAGAAAGGTCAGAAGAAAGGCCCAGAAGAAAGGTCAGAAGAAAGGTCAGAAGAAAGGCCCAGAAGAAAGGTCAGAAGAAAGGTCAGAAGAAAGGTCAGAAGAAAATTGCAATTTAACAGAGAAAAAAAAAACGGAAGGATAAAGAGTGGAAGATAAATAAAACCCAGAAGAATTATGACAAATGAAAAGAAAAAGAGAAGATAATAAGAAAAAGGGTAAAAAATGTAAAAGAAGGTAACAAGGAACAGAAATAATGATCATCTGTACTTTCTCTTCCATGCGCCTATATATAAAATTCTGGGACCTTCGTTAGTCCATCCCTCACACCCTCTAAAATAGCCATACATTGAAACCAAATTTGGTGGAGAAGTGCAAACAGGTAAAAGAGTTGGGTACAATGTACAGTTGCTTTTACTAGGGTGCATAGCTTAGTACAATAAATTTTCATTCATTTTTGGGGGGAAAATTAAAAGCCCTATTATTTAACATGCAAAATACTCCCACTATTTTAAAAACAGTTTTTCTCTCTCTCTCTCTCTCTCTCTCTCTCTCTCCCTATATATATATATATATATATATATATATATATATATATATATATATATTGAACAATAAAAATATTCAAATATTCAAATATTCAAATCTTCAGACACACTGGGTTGTAGATTAATATTCTTTCGTTTTTATTATTATTATTTCATTTAGATTCCTCGATATATATATATATATATAAAAGTCAGTGACTTCCATTAATCCGTCACACACTCTAAAATAATTATACATTGACCGATGGAAACCAAATTTTCGGTCAAGTGCAAACAGGTAAGTGGTTACAATGAACAATTGGTTTTACTATAGTGTGTAATTTAGTATAATAAATTTTCATTATTTTTTTATTAAAAGTTAATTATTTAATATGCAAAATACTCCCACCATTTTAAAAACAATTTAATGGTAAGAATAACAAATACTTATTTAATAAAAAAAGCAATATTCTTTTTTACATACCTTTTCTTAAAGTATTTATATAGAAGAATCCAATTTCCAGTTCGTCATGCGTTTGCGAGAACTATGAAGAAATCACATAACCAAACGCTTCAAAAAGTTGGTATTTAACTCCAGAAAAAATTTTTACGCAAGGCCAGTGGTATGTTGAATGCTCAAGAGTAAGAAATTCTAAGAATTCATTCTTCGCTGTTAAAAAGGATAAAAAGAATTTTTTTTAAATATATTTTTACTATGAAGTCCTATAAAATTAATTTTTTGTCAGATTATTTTTCCAAACAAATCAGCTTATTTCCATCGATTTGTTTGCGAAAAAGTAGAGTTCATAAATTTCGACAAGAAATTTAAGCGATAATTTCAACAATACTAAATACTATGAGGATTTCAAAACGCGCTAGCGTGTATTAGAATTTCTTTCTTTATTGCTTTTTCAATTTAGGTATTTTCTATTCTAGTAATGGGGATTTTCTTTAATATATTGAAAGAGTCTATCAAGGAGAGTGATGTAGCAGGGGATGGTAGTTTTAGAAATCTTGAAAGCTTTGGACACAATTTGGAATACAAGGTCTTCTACACAAACTGAAAAAGGTACTTTGTATCTGGAGAAAGTTTTGAACTGATCCAGTCTTTTATCAAAACGTGAAATGAAAGTTATCCTGAATGGCCACTCTTCTAGATCCTTTCGTACTAATGTAGTTGTTCCCCAGGGCTCCATCCTTAGTTCTACTTTGTTTTAAATTCACATTAATAATTCTCCCGATGACATCAGCTCTCAACTTGGTATGTATTTTGATGACACTCCTCTCTCAACAGTAAGGCTGTGCAATGAAGTAAGATCAAATTCGCGGCTGATGTCAAAAACGACCTTCAGTCTGTTGTTAACAGGGTAAAGTATGGCTTGTTAATTTCAACACCTCCAAAACTAAACTGCTCTCCATTAATCATCCGAAACACCTGTTTCTTCTTTCTATCAGCATGGCTGATGCTAGCCTCCAAAAGAATGACGCGTTCTTTAGATAACGCTCTCGGTTGAACGTAGGCGATCATGGCTCGCCATAATTTTCTGTTCTTTGCAGCTCTTAATAAATTTTGTCTTTTTGTTATTTCTCCTAAACACTGTTCCGCCATTGATTTATTTTAGCTCGTCAATTATGTTATGGTGATTTTCTGCTCGTAGCTTAGATGTGTCACAAGGATAGAAATCTAGGGCACCCAGTTAGGATCGAACTCACTATTCAGTCATTACTGATCTAGCAAGACAAGATTGATAACCTGTAAACCACGTCAAAGTGCCCCTTATCAAGTATGTTATGCGCTGTTTTTTCTCTGTCCCTCTTGCTCTCAATCTGTCCTGTGAGTGTCAGATTTTCCAAGCCCTTCTTCCTCATTATGTGCTCCAGAAATTTCAACTGTCTCTTCCTGATGTTAAGTATAAGTTTTCTTTTTGCTAACATTTTCTCTAAAACCCTGTCGTTGTCTCACATGTTCGGCCCATGGTATTCTCATCATCCTTCTGTAGAACCATGTTTCTGTTGTCACTTCTGGATCCGTGAGATTGTCCAATTATATTCCCTTTTTATTGGATTATGTAAAGCATCTCTAACCGAATATTTTTTTCCAATGCAATGATTTTGTCTTCCCGCAGCCTTACGTCTTTCGAATCGGTCATCTTTTAGGCAGGAATAAGAAAGTGATTTAGTCCATTTTCAGTGGGATTGAAAGTAATCCTTTCCAACTGCACTTTTCTAGCTCTACCAAGAGGGTCAGGGTCAATCTCTTATGCCTGAGCCATCCGACTAGGTAAGGGCCGACGGAAAATTTCTGTTATCAAACCCATGTACTCGTGGGAATCTCACATTAATTACGACCATTTGGCATATTCCTTTCGAATGTGCGCGCGGATAAATACTTATTAGGTCGATATATGAACACCAAAAAGAAAACAAAAAGAAACAAAGCATGTGTTCAGTAATAAAGACGGCTGAGATTGGAAGACTATTTCGAAAGGAAAAAATTATATGCAATGCTAATATGAGCGAATAAAGGAAATCTATAAAATTCTTTGTTTTAAACTCATCGCTGATCAGTCGATTTGAACCAGGACTAAAATAGTATGCATTATCAACGATTTTTTCGTCGAGTTGTGTGTTTTGTCTCCATAATTAATTCATTGTATATCGATTCTGTCTCTCACGCCGACCTCAAAGGGTTTTTTTTTATTTTCTCCTTCATTTGTGCATGCTTTTATTTGCTCTCCATCCTTTTCTTTCGCTCCCCCATCTCCCTCTCTCTTTATTTCTAGCTATCTATATTTCTTTCTCCTCCCTCTCTCTCTCATTCCTTCTCTTTCTTTTTCTCTCTATCTTTATTTCATATCATTTTTCTCTTTTCCCACATTCTCTATTCCCTCACACACTCGATATGTTTATTTTATTTTAGTTCTCTCTCCTCTCTCTCAACATCTCCCTCGTTTCCTCTCCCCTCTATGTTTTCTTCACTACACACACACACACACACACATATATATATATATATATATATATATATATATATATATATATATATATATATATATATATACAGTAACGCGGATATAAGAAAGTTGTCGGGACCGGAGAAGAAGTCTCTTATATCTGGGTTTATCTTATATCCGGGTTTGGTCTATTTTATATACATTAACACAGGCTCTAATTTGGGACCAGAGAAAATCTCTTTTATATCCGGGTTTCTCTTATATCCGGGTCTCTTATATCCGGGTTACACTGTATATATATATATATATATATATATTATCATCATTACTATTATTATTGTTTCCCTCCGATTTCTGTTGTATCCACATTTCTTTCCGGGCCCCAACCAGAGATCAAAGTCAGAAATGGTTTCCTGTCATTTTCCCCTAAACATTTTTGTAAAAAAAATAATGAGATCACACACAATTTTACATAGATAAAGCTCTTCGTAATGTGTGAGCAGTATTTGTGAGGACAAATTTTTGTATTTTTCTAAGGCATTGGCTACCAGGAATCCCTTCAATGAATCTATCGGAACCTTTTCCAATCAATCCGAGTGCTCCAACTACAACTGGAATTATTGATGTCCTCATGTGCCGCATTTTTTAGATTTCCATTTCAAGATCCTTGTATTTTGATAGTTTTTTGAAGATCTTCAAAGATACATTACAATCTGCAGGGACAGCAATGTCAATTAAAAAGCACATTCTGTTCTTATGGTCTTTGATCACAATATCTTGGACATAAACTTTGATTGCTTTGTCTCTGTGTAATGCAAAGTCGCATAAAATTGTTGCAGCTTCCAGCTTTGTAACTGAGTCTGGATGATGCTCATACAAGTTTCTTGCACTTTCTTTCCCGTAAAAGGTCAATATTTTCTAGTGCAGATGTTGGCCAACTCCATCATGCCGAGTTTTATATTTGGTTAGTGCTTACGCCGTGCAATCTGATTCAACATGGTTTGTTTTGGTTTATTTTGTTTTACGGCATATCAACCTCAATGGGTTATTTAATGCCGACAAAATTTTTATTGATGGTAATATTTTTTTTTCAAACATGTATTGCTAGTAATATTTTTCTTTCAAAAAAGTATTGCTGGTATAATTTTATTTGCCTAAAATGTATTGCTGATAATAATGTATTGCTGGTAATAATTTTTTGTTTTTACAAAGTATTTCTGGTATTAAGACCTATTTTTATACTTCCATAGTGTTTCGACCCCAGTTTGATGGTTAACTATTTGCCCATAGTTGGGATCCTAACAGGTGCTGCCACCTTGAGTCAGGGTGGACATAGGAACACCAACAATTAAGGGGTGGTTCCACGCCCTTCAAAACCTCATTATAAGAGGCCTTGCTGTTGGACGTAGTTTATTGTCTTACCCAGGACGCGGATGTAGTTTGCCGTCATACTCAGGACGCGATTCAAGATGGTCAATTGTTTCTGGATATTTTATCACAGAATCTGCATTTCGGGTAAAGACACTTGACAACATAGCGTTTCGAAATATTTAAATCACTGATTTAGAGCTTTGACAAGAATGACTGCGTTGATCGCAGAAAATCTATTTTGTATACGCATATTTATACAGTACAATCAAAATTGTCAATCCCAGGAGTTCCTCAGAACAATTAAAAAGCTAAATAATCATCTTAATTTTTCAACTTTAAATTTAAAATTACATTTACACAAGTCAATCACGCGAGTATTTTACAATAGATAGGCATGTTTTTTTTACCTTATTTTACTAAGCCAGGTAAATTAGTTTTTAATTTTAATAACATTACTTAAAAATTTTTATGATCTTATTTGCATGTATCTATAGTATTATTATTATTTCTTTTTTATTTTAATTGTTTTATTTTATATTACTGAATTTATTTATTTGTTATTGATTAATTTCATATTTAAACTGTAAGACGTTACATTCAGATGTGTTCTTAATTAAACACGTCCGTTGCTAATCACACTTTAAAATAGATTAATAGAAAATATTCCAAGACAAATCCAGTGAAGATCAAATTCCCTCACGTCCAATTACTTGTAAATTCAGTCATTCTTCTGTCATGATCAGTTGTGCCATGCTTAAGCGATCATGTATCTTTCGATAGGTGACCATTTCTTTCTGCGGTAGACCAGTTGCCATCCATGACTATAGAAACCGGACTGTGCTGCTATTTACCCATAGCTGGGGGGGAAGGAAAGAGGATTCATACCTTTCCCAAGGTTATTGCACATATGTGAATGTCACGGATTCGATTGGAAAGTCAGTCAGTCATGTGCCATACGTGATACTGTACTGTACTGTACTGATGCGGCATTCACCCTGGGCGGATTGAGCCGGCTTCTTCCTGTTATGATAAAGACCTTGGGATAAATTACAGAAGTAGGGTACCCAGGCCTACTCGGATAACGTTCTTGCTTGCCGCGGGGTTCCCACAGACAGGAACGACCAGATGCAGACGCTCCTTGGATTTTCACCAGAGCCCTTGTTAGCCGGCGTGTGTGTCAGACCTGTCCGCCTTGGGTGGCCCTACCAGGAACGAAGTTCCGGGCGGCATAGCTCTAACACTACCGTTTACACCCCCCCACCAACTGTGAGGTAAGGGTTGGACTTTGGGGGCTTACAGTACCAGGTGTTCCCAAGCGGTCCCCCATCTAAGTACTGACCTGGCTCTACGCTGCTTAACTTCGGTGATCGTACGAGAACCGGTGTTTCAGCATGATTTGACCGTAAGCTCATACGTGATACACGCTTAAGCGATTATGTATCGTTCGATAGGTTGCCATTTCTTTCTGCGGTAGACCGGTTGCCATCCAAGACTATAGAACCTCTCTTCTTCTCCGCCCCCAATAGCTGTCTTCGTATTTTTCCATCTTTTGAAACCTTACTGACGGTTTTATTTTTCATTTAACTCGCCATACTTTTCCATATATCAATCTTTCTACATATCTATCTACAAATTGTTTCCACTCTCCTGGGCTTTTATCCACTTGGACGCCGTTGACGATATCTTTCCATAAAATTCTTTGTTTTTGGAGCAACAGCAGAGATATCTCACAAGGAAATTCTTTGCCCCCAGTTTTCTTACTCTGGCAGTGATTGGTAAAGCAAAACAAGTCAATTCATAAATAGTGACAAAGGCTGTGAAGGAGGAGGGGGTTTTTCTGAGACTGCTGACGATATTTCACCAATATGTTCATAATTTTTTTTTTTTTCAATTTTTAAATATCTAATTTCAGGAGTGAAAATATTAGGGATCATTTTCTGAATTGAACAGACAAATTTTCTTAGCAGCCGATAATCATTGTTGCTTGAAAATTCAAAGACGACAGGGCGTTCACATGACGTCGCTGATTGGTTAATATATGTGAACATTCAAATCGGAGCCTGAAATACGCACAAATAGGAGCCGACTTCTGTGTGAGCCGGTTTAGATAAAAAAAAAAAATGAGTTTCCAGTGAGTGTACTTAAATCTAATGCATTTTTCTACAAATCTTTAACGAGGTTCTACTTATTTCCAACATACGTGTTCTTTTTATCTTTTTAAAAAAAAATAAGATTATTTTTGTGAGTTGAATTATTCATTCATTTTCTATGGATTAGCCACCTTTTGCAGGTTATTTATTCAAAGCCAGAATTTTTTTTTTTAGATTGTAAGAATTTTTTATTGTTTTTGAAGATGATAATGATGTTATGGTACAAGTCTTACTAATTAACCCCTTGCTGGGGGAAGAAGAGGTGGATTCATAAATTTTGCGTAAGTGAATATAACGAACACAACTGGAATTGGAACACGACTCTCCGATTAACATTTTCGCGCCATTATCCTACTCACACAATCCATGTTGCAGTTCGTGGTATTCCTAAGCGGTCACCCGTCTAGGTACTAACCAGGCTTGATGTTGCTTAACTTCGGTGATCGTACGGAAACCAGTGTTTGAACCAATGTTACAACCAATGTATTGCGTGTGTTCGTGTGTGGCTTAACCCTTTGAGCGCTGCCTTTCCTGAACAATTTTAATCCTTCTGCCTGAGCTCCTGAGTCAAAATTCGCAAATAATTGGTATGTAATGTTTCACGGTAGATATAAAAATAGTTACAAAAAATATAACTTCCTAATTGCCTAACTGACGGTGCAGGTTTAGGCTCTCCGCATGCTTCATGGTAAAAACCATCTCTTTTAAAACACATGCACAAAACACAATGAATAGGCTCGGTCATATTGGTATAACGTTCGATGACATCAGAATATTACGGCTTTTCTGATTGGCTCTTCAAAATAAGACGACCAATAGCAAAATACGATGCAAGTGTTTAACTACCGTTCAACCGGTGTCTGGGCATTAAGTCATTTTTCTCTAGCACCGGTAAATCAGTGGTCAGGGCTCAAATTGTTAAATTGAATGATCAGTAAATGAGTTACGTTTGAAAATTTCTACAGGAGTTTGTTTAATATAAAATGCCCGAGTCACTAATATAAATGTTTTTCCAAGAATCTATTATTATAATGTTTTTTTTCATTATTATTATTTGAATTGAAGAGACAAAAATACCATATTTAATTGGATACAATACCATGCGATTCAAACATTTGTAAGTTTTTTCATGTTAAATTTCTTTATTAAATGAATAGAATTGCATCGATCGAAAGTGGAAAGCAAATCTCTTATATATATTTCCCAACAAGTTAAATTAGTTTATTTCATACTGAACATATATATGTGTTTGTGTGTGCGTATATGTGTGTGAGCACGCGTGTTTGTGTACAAGATGCGTCACAAATATTAGTTACATTTTAACGAATATTAAAAAAGAGTTGATAGCAGTAAATAGATTCATGGTTTGTTTGTTTTTAGTTAATATTTATTTAACGATGTAAGAAAATAATTTTTAGATTATGTAAGTAATTCAAATTCTTAGATAACATTTATTAGACGACTTAAGCAATTCAATTTATAGATAACATTTATTGACCGTCGTAAGTATTTCAAATTTTAGATAACATTCATTGAACGATGTAAGCAACTCAAATTTTAGTAAACATTTATTGAACGAAGTAAGCAATTCAAAATTTAGATAACATTTATTGAACGATGTAACCAATTCAGTTCTTAAATGGCATTTATTGAACGATGTAGGCAATTCAATTTTTAGATAACATTTATTGAACGGTGTAAGCTATTCAACTCTTAGATAACATTTATTGAACGATGTAAGCAATTCAATTCTTAGATAACATTTATTGAACGCCGGAAGAAATTAAATTCTTAGATAACATTTAACGAATGATGTAATCAATTCAAGTCTTTTCTGTAGCAAACAAAAGTTTATTGAATTTATCATGAGGACAGTTTAATAGTTTTCTGCACTTTCCTTTATGAAGTTTTTTTAGCAGTACAGTTTAGCGTAGATGCAGGATTTTCTACCAAGCAAGACGACAATGCCACTAGAACACAGGGAATTGATTAGAATTAGAAGATCGAAAATGGGGAGGATTGAGGAAAGGGCTCAAAAATGGAACTGGCTTCAAGAAAACTGAAGATGGCGTTGCATTTAAGAATTGAATGTTACGCAAGACATGCTACAACGTGTTTGGTAGAAGTTGGACTACTGACATGACATGTGTCGTGAACATTTGTGAAGCTTTGTGAAATCGGTTATAAAATCTATATCCCTCTGCATATTTTGATAAATAATTTTTTATTGTTCAACATGACGTTTATTTATTTATTTTTTATTTTTGTTTGTGTGTTTGGGATACGTCATTACTCAGATCTTCACATCTAAATGATATCAATTTTGTGAGGAAGACACTCTCTAGTTATATCTTATAAAATATAAATATTTATATAAAATAAATAATATAGAAACACCGTTGATAATATATTTAAGATATATTTCAATTTTTTCAGGCTATACTTATATTTATATGTGAAATATATATCCAGGGGGTGTCGAGTCATAACATCTAGTCTTAAATATTTATGACATGTTTTCGGGTGTCAGTTCTCATTATGCAAACAAACGCAGTGCAACATTTTTTTTTATTTATAAGCCAAAAGATAGAGACCACATAAATATATTTAATACAATAAAACAATAACCTTCTGTGTGTCGTCTCCTTTCATGATGTGGTCGAGCATGGATCTCCACAACTTCCTAACCTTTGTAGATCTAAATAATATTTATCACCTAATTCTCCCGCCGTTACTCATTTGCAGAATACTTGATTAAATCATTACTTTAATATTTTTTCATTTAATAAACCTTCCTCTAGGTGCATAAGACAAGGGTGTGTCTTCTCACCGGACGTATTCAACCTATACCGTGATGCATTCTGGGAGAATTACAAGTCCTACTTGGATTCATTATTGGCGGCCAGAATCTTAACAACATGATATTTAGATGACAGAGTGTTGATATCAAACACAGAAAGTACACTAGAAGAACTCCTACAGAAAATAGTGAAGGAAAGCGTGAAAAAAGGACTTTTTTAAGCGTTTCACCCCAAGCAAGGCGGGAAGCCACTAGGACGCAAGTGGTTACAGAGAGCAAAGAGGAGTGATAGAGGAAAAGATGAAGAGAAGGACAGGGGATAGATCAAGGCATCTGGAGACGTCGATTGACATTACATATGAATAGTTGGAGATTATAGCTATCAGGGAAACAGGAAAAGGGGAGGGAGTTCCACAGGCGAGAAGTGCGAGACATGAAGTTATTGGAGTAGAAGAGGCGGCTACATTTAACAGTTTCGACAGTGAAAGGGTGAGATGCCAGCCTAGTAGAACGCTTAAATTCATGAAGTCTGGGAACCAGCGAAAGCAGTTCATCAGAGCAGTTACCGTGAAAGTATTTGTAAAAAAGACAGAGGGAGGCGACGGTACGTCTGTGAGAGAGCGGCTGCAAACGAGATGCCAGTCCAATTGCAACTAGACAGTATGCATGGTTGTTAGCAAAAAGGAACAGCCTGACATGCTAATTACTAATTGAAGATATCAATATCAAACATGTACAGCAATTTGAATTTCGGGAAATATTTAACATAGGACGGAAAGTGTGACACTGAAATCCGAAGGAGAATTGAGAAAGCGAAATACGCCATGTAAATATTAATCCATGTATTAAGAAACACGGACATTTCATTCGAAACAAACAAAAAGAGTACTGAACTCTGAAGTCATATCTGACCTCCTATATGACAGTGAAAGATTAATAAGCTCATCACAGATGAAGAAGAGACATGAAGCAGCAAAAATTTGGTTCTACAGAAAGATGCTGAGGGTACCAAGAACCGAACATGTGAGCAACGACAAGGTTTTAGAGGAAATAGAAACAAAAAGGACGCACACACTTACCATCAGAATGAGACAATTGAGCTTTCTAATGAGGAAAGGAGGCTTGGAAAATTTGATACTAACAGGACATCTCAATTAGTTCGTCCACCACATTGTCCAACTAATATTTTTGCGATGATTGACAATAGTGAATAGCATTTTGCTTTAAGGCTGTAACGCATTACGTCTTTAAATAACGACCTGCATTCGTATTACAACTGTTATTGCAATATATGGTTAAAATTCTTCAGCTCAAAGATAATAAATCGTATTAACACCATTTACCGGCCTGAATGTCCGAGACATTGTCATAGAGCAGATATGAATGTACGTGAGAAACTCATGGAGAATTGTAGTTTAAAAACTGTAAAATCGACCTTGGTAACCGAACGCTCCTCTGTTGCGAAATCGGTAAAAGCACGTCAGGCTATATGGCGGTTTCGTATAAGGGTACAGGTTCGATTCCTGTCGGAGGACGAATATTTTCTATGACAATTTCTCGGACATTCAGGCCGGTAAATGCTGTTAATACTGTTTATTATAAACAGAGGATTTAACTAAATATTTGTATCTATAAAAAAGAATGTATAAACATAAAAATGTCTTAAAATAAATGTCGGACTTTGTCCATTTCATAATGTGTGATTTCCTTATTTAGGACCAAACCATACCATATGTATATATGTGTAGGAAAGAAGCACGTTACATAATCATATTACAAGGACGGTATCCTCGAATACGTGTGGCCAGCTATTATATATATATATATATATATATATATATATATATATATATATAATAGCTGGCCACACGTATTCGAGCATAACCGTCTAATAGACGCTCGCTCAGACTGTGGTTGTTTGTTCAACACCCACAGAGCCAACCTGTGGTTTATATTGCAACTATGTCGAGCAGACCTTAGTTACAGTTTCTGGGAGAGAGCGTGTTATCTAGAGTGACCAAAAAATCTGATCAAGGCCAGCACTCTCAAACCCTCGCTCACGATGACTTGTGACTCCGTGCTAACACAGCTATCGACGACCCCCAAGGGGTCCGTCTACCCAATTTCACCCGTGGTATGGTTTTCAGACACTTTCCAGACGGATAACAAATCCTGACAAATCGACCATGGTGAGATTCGAAAAAGACACTTTTCAGACGGATAACGTTCTAACAACACACACACAGAGCTGTTTCTGTTTTATCAGATTTCGTACAACTCAGCGATATTCCCATTTAATAAGGGGAGGGGTTAATAGATAGATAGATAGATAGATAGATAGATAGATAGATAGATAGATAGATCATAATATTCTGAGAGAGATGGAAAGATACACAAAAACAAAGGCAAATACATACAGGCAGATATGGGAGGTAATAAAGTTCACTGAGACAAAGATAAAACAGATTGAGATAGATAAATAGACAAAGAGAAAGCTATTTGAGCTGAATACATATTTTGTTAGACATATTCACAAACACAGACAGGGTTATATATGTTGGTAAAGTTCACAGTTTTTACATCAAGAATACATATTGAATTATCAACAAAAGATATAAGTATTTTCGTCCTTCATTAACCTAACTAGCTTTTAATTGAATAAATTAATTGATTGAAATCCCCTCAGTTATAGGGCGAAAAAGCATGAATAGTTTCAAAATGGTTGGCTACTTTAATCAAATGCATGTGTGTGTAGCGTTACAGCTCAAGCCAGACACCAGCTTAGGTGACAGGGTGCATCTTCTTCCAGTCAAAAGTTTGTGACTTACACATACACACATATAGGCAGACACGAAGATAGATAGATAGATAGATAGATAGATAGATAGATAGATAGATAGATAGATAGTGTGTGTATGAGAGAGAGAGACATAGGAATAGATAGATAGATAGATAGATAGATAGATAGATAGATAGATAGATAGATAGATAGATAGATAGATAGTGTGTGCATCAGAGAGAGACATAGGGATAGATAGATAGATAGATAGATAGATAGATAGATAGATAGATAGATAGATAGATAGATAGATAGTGTGTGCATCAGAGAGAGACATAGGGATAGATAGATAGATAGATAGATAGATAGATAGATAGATAGATAGTGTGTGTATGAGAGAGAGACATAGGGATAGATAGATAGATAGATATATAGATAGATAGATAGATAGATAGTGTGTGTGTGTATCAGAGAGAGACATAGGGATAGATAGATAGATAGATAGATAGATAGATAGATAGATAGTGTGTGTATGAGAGAGAGACATAGGGATAGATAGATAGATAGATAGATAGATAGATAGATAGATAGATAGATAGTGTGTGTATGAGAGAGAGAGACATAGAGATAGATAGATAGATAGATAGATAGATAGATAGATAGATAGATAGATAGATAATTGCCGTGTTTTGAAGATGGTTTGAGGAGTGAAACTGACTATAGTATCTTTGATTTTTATTTCCACGGCTCAAACGCTCTAATTCTGATATTAAACAAACCTCATTTAGATATAGCAAATTTCAACATTTAAGTTCATACAGTTTGGGAACCAGTGAAATTAGCCCGTCGGAGCAGTTGCCGTGAAAATACTTGTAGAAAAGACAGAGGGAAGCCACAGCACGTCAGTGAGAAAGTGACTGTAGACGAGATGATAGATCAGAACAATATATATATATATATATATAATACAATTATAATTAGTGGAAACACATGTTTTAGATATCCCTTTCTTTTGTTAAACAGTGTAATTGATTACTGAAACACGTGTAGCCACTTAATATAAAATTTATTGTATAAGAAAGTATGTCAAATACAAAATCTTAATTCCTTTAATATTTATGTATATATTTTACTCCCTTTATTCTTTCTCTCATTTGCATAGATCTATATATGACGTCACACATTATGAAATGGACAACTTCCGAAAATTATTTTAAGACATTTTTTATGTTTATACGTTCTTTTTTTTTAGATACAAATATTTAAGTAAATGCTCTGTTTATAATAAACAGTATTAACGACATTTACTGGCTTGAATGTCCAAGAAATTTTCATAGAAAATATATATTCCGTATAGGACACAGGTTCGATTCCTATCGGAGGACGCATATTTTTAATGAAAATTTCTCGGATATTCAGGCCGGTAAATGTTGTTTAATACTGTTTATTATAAACAGAGCATTTACTTAAATATTTGTATCTATAAAAAGATCGTATAAACATAAAAACATGTCTCAATATATATATATATATATATATATATATATATATATATATGCAAGTGTGAAAAAAAGAACAGAGGGAATAAAAATATATATATATATATATATATATATATATATATATATATATATATATATATATATATATATGTATGTATATATGTATGTATATATATATATTTTCCATGGAAATGTAAATTTTGATTTTTGCTGACTTTTGAAACCCAGTAATTTTATAAATTACTCCAAAATTCGCTTGAGAATGAAATGGAACTAATGTCTTTAATTTAATTACAAAATTAAATTTGAACCTTCCATTTTTGAAACATGGTTAGAACTGTGTAGCGGAAAACCATATTTTAAATAAATTAATTCATAATATATATATATATATATATATATATATATATATATATATATATATATATATATATATATATGCTAAATGATTAAAAAGAAGCAAGGCCTAAATTTTAAGAAAGAAGCAAACTGACGAAGAATAGGACAGTCTCTGAAAGAAAAAAGCAAAATGCTTAAGTATAAAAATATTTTTTAAAAGGAAAATAATAAGTTCAAATATTTAACAAAGAAAGAATAAAATTAAAGTTTTAAAAAAAGAACGAACAATAGAATGAATGAATGTCTGAATGAATGAAAAAGGAGCAAATAAATAAAAGAAAGTAGAAAGAAAATAAGAGGTAAACGTTAAAAAAAGAAAGAAAAAAGAAAAATGAATGAAAAAATAGCAACTAAATAAAGAAAAGTAGAAAGAAAATAAAAGGTAAACGTTAAAAAAAAAGAAAAAAATGAATGAAAAAGGAGCAAATAGATAAAGCAATTTAGAAAGAAAATAAAACCAAAAGTTTAAGAAAGAAAAAAGACTCAGAAATGTTCGAGCTTTTCATTAGAAATCAAGAGTTAATATCTCCCCACTTGTATATAGCGGTCCAATATTTGCCGGTGTCTCTTAATTAATTCCTAACCACTGACAATTCTTTACTTTTTGATTTTCAACACTAGACAGACAGAATACAAAAACTGGCTCCAAACATTTAGGCAAAAAAAAAAAAAACCTCGTTGTTTCATTATTGTTGAGTTGCACTTTTAAGTTGCTACTTTTTTCATTCCTTCGCAACATAGTGCAACATCATCACGGGTTGTTTTGACTGAATAACGTCATTATAATTCATTAACAACATTTTCTTTCTTTTTTCATGCATAAACTTCATGACTATAAGCAAAAACTCGTGCATCTTAAAATTCTAATACAGTGTAACCCGGATATAAGAGACCCGGATATAAGAGAGATTTTATCTGGTCCCAAAGTGTTCCCATACTTACCTAAACAAAATAGACCAAACCCGGATATAAGAGACTTCTTCTCCGGTCGCGACAACACTCTTATATCCGGGTTACACTGTACAGTGTAGCCCGGATATAAGAGAGATTTTCTGGTCCCAAAGTGTTCCCCATACTTACCTAAACAAAATAGACCAAACCCGGATATAAGAGACTTCTTCTCCGGTCGCGACAACACTCTTATATCCGGGTTACACTGTACAGTGTAGCCCGGATATAAGAGAGATTTTCTCTGGTCCCAAAGTGTTCCCATACTTACCTAAACAAAATAGACCAAACCCGGATATAAGAGAAACCCGGATATAAGAGACTTCTTCTCCGGTCGCGACAACACTCTTATATCCGGGTTACACTGTACAGTGTAACCCGAATATAAGATACCCGGATATAAGAGAAACCCGGATATAAGAGAGATTTTATCTGGTCCCAAAGTGTTCCGATACTTACCTAAACAAAATAGACCAAACCCGGATATAAGAGAAACCCGGATATAAGAGAAACCCGGATATAAGAGACTTTTTCTCCGGTCCCGACAACTCTCTTATATCCGGGTTACACTGTATTAAAAAAAAAAATTCGTGTTTTACAATTACAGTGTAACCCGGATATAAGAAAGTTGTCGGGACCGGAGAAGAAGTCTCTTATATCCGGGTTTCTCTTATATCCGGGTCTCTTATATCCGGGTTACACTGTACTAATATACTCACTACATCTACTCCAATATAGGAGGAAAATTCCTGAGTCTTCTGATATCATATATAATGGAGTTTTCGGAAAGTAGTTACTTTTACACCAGAAACGATATTTAAAAAAAGTATAAATTATAATTAATTTAAATATTATCTATCTAAAGCTTAATCTTTTTCGATTTTGCCTTTAAAGAAATTTTGTTTTATCACCAAAACTATTTGACAGTGCTAGTTATAGAAACGGCTAAAAATTTGTAGTTGCTAAATCTGTACGTAGGATGTTGACACTCCCCCCGCATCCTTATTAACCCTAGAACACTAAACATCAATTAAAGTTACACCACTACTAACCATGGGTATATCATACCCGATTTTGAAAATATCAAAAAAATATAAAATATAAATCTTTATTTGAACTACAGTGTAACCCGGATATAAGAGAAACCCGGATATAAGAGAGATTTTCTCTGGTCCCAAAGTGTTCCCATACTTACCTAAACAAAATAGACCAAATATAAGAGAAACCCGGATATAAGAGACTTCTCCAGGCCCGACAACTCTCTTACACTGTATTTTACATGCAGGCACTTCAAACTTTGTACTTTGAGTTAACATTAATAGGAACTGAAAAATATTATTTAGGTAAAAAAATCAGGTACTGAAAATTGTAATTAAAAATAGGAAAATTTGCGCTGTGTATATTATACCTATGGTTAGTGTTCTAGGGTTAACGACTTTATTTTTTTCTTGGGTTTGTTTTGCAATGCACCCTTATGCTGGAGAATAACACCCGTTCAGTTTACTAAAGCAGGGAAATATTTAATGTAATTAATGATTTACACGATTGAGTTGCTGAAAATTAACTTCTACAATAATGATTCTTCCATTTTCCAGTGATTCGTAATGGACGACACTTTTCATATTTCACCAAAATAAAAAAAAATAAAAAAAGTAAGGACTTCTGTAGATAGAGTCTTTGTTCTCATTTTGGGACGGGTTTCTCATTTTGCGATGACCACTGGCATTTCTTTTTTTTTTTTTTTTTCGATTGACATGTGAAATCTATTTTTCATCTGTAACAATTCCATACACAAAAGAAAAGTTTGGAATTCCATGTTAAAAGACCGTCCTAGTTTGCAAACATCGTGTTCGGTTCTCATCACTAGGACCCAAAACACCCTTATTTCTAGGTGTCCTCACTTCGCAAACTCTGAAATACACCCTAAACAACTGCCGGATAGTAGAGATGATTCGTTAATTTCAGACGTGGTTTCCTTCCATTTAACCTTGGTTCTGTTGATTGACTCATAATTCATAGAGGTTGAAATACGTAATTATTTTCCACCCTCACTAATAGAAGAGAGGATAAATTAATTCTAGACGTAATTACCAATCATTGAATTTCATACTACCTTGGTTGACTCAGTTCATAACGATGAAATACATAATTACTTTACGAATAACCAATATGTTTTTTAGTATGTTGTCACACTAAATATTTAATAATCAGATTTAATTAAACTTTTACAGTGGCTGCTAAATGAACCCTACCAGTGAAATCTCTCGTGACATTGCTAATCAGAGTTTATTCGTTTTCAGGTCAATATAGTTTATACAAAAACAACTTTTTTTTTGTTTTTCTTCGTTACTCGAAAGCGGCGAGGGAAGCATTTTGTCCATTTGTTAATTCAGCCTTAGTTACGAGCCATACGATTCCTTGGGGAGGTGAGGCCTTTTGAAGTACCAAGTGACACAATTTGCTTACTGAATTGTATCCAGATGTCGCGTATCAAAGAAATTCTTTAGGCGGAAAGTATTTGCTTATTCTCAAATGCGAAAGGAAAAAATCCATATTCTCCATGTACAAAGACCAAAAATAAACGCACCAACTTCAACGATTTTTCTGTAATTTTTCTTCTTGCAATTATACTTATTTGTTAAGCTTAGTCTGACATAAGGCCAAAATAATAAATAGGCCAATGAGAGTCGAACTTACTTGGTGTAATAAAAATGTAGAACACCAAACAGTTAACATCTATTCCATGGTGAGAATACACTTTAAGTTATAATCATTTAAATATTTGATGACCATGATTTTGAAATGTGAGGTCTGCATGAATTCAAACTAATATTAGATGATCAGTTAGCACCGAGTAAATGGAGTCTTCTTCTACCGGATAGAAATAACTGTACAAAAGTCATCTCTTGAGAGAGAGAAAGAAAGAAAAAAGATAAAGAGTGAGTGAAAGAGGGGAAGAGACATCAAGTGAAAGACAATGAGAGAAAAAGGCAGAAAGAAAAATACGGAAACTATCAAATAAAGAAAGAAAGTGTTCCAGAGACGAAAGAAAAGTAATTAAAGGAAAGATACATACAGAGAGAGAGAGAAAGGGATGAGAAAGAAATAGCTAAAAGGAGAGAGAAGAAAAGATGGAAAGAGAGACGGCAAGAGAAAGGAGATGGGCAAAAAACTCGAGGTGGAAAGAGAGGGAGAATATCAAATTGAGAAAGAAAGAATGGAAGAGAGAGTATAGTAATAAAGAAATTAGAAGAAAAAGAGAGAGAGAGAGGGGAAGGAGACGAAACAGAGATAGTGATAGTGTAAGAGAGAAAGAGCTAAAAAGAGAGCAAAGTAATGCTGAAAAGAGGGGAATTACGTGAAAAGTCAAAGGGGAAAGAGAGAGAAAACGTGAGTAGAAGTAGAAAAAACAGAAAGATAGACATTGGATTAAAGAGAGAGAAAGGGGAACAATAGAGAAAGGAAAGAGACTGTTATAGAGAAGAAGATAAAAGAGAGAGAAAATGATGGAAACAGAGACAGCGATAGAAAGAGAATGAGAGAACAACGCGGTGCAGAGAAAAGAGAGAAAATAAATTAGTGTGGAAAAGACAGAAATAAAGTAGGTGAAAATAGGAGGGAGTGAGAGAACCAACAGAAAGAAAAAGCGAGAAAAGAGTGTGAATGGGTGAGATAGAATTATATATAGAGAAAGAGAGGGAAATGAAGAGAGGGAAAGAGAGAACGAGAATGGTAGCTATATTGAGAGAATAAAATAAATTCATCAGATTCAAGAATGCGATTCGTTTTCCATTCATTTTGGGCGCTGTATGAACTATTTCAAAAACAAAATAAAAACTTTGGCCGCATTCCTGAGATACGGAACAGCTTTTCCGGCACTCATTGGGAAGGAAGTCCATTAAACAAACGGCCGAAAGATACAAGAGTCTTTCACAAACGCTGCATATGTCGTACGATTTGCAAAAAGGGTATCACCTTTGTGGAACTCTAGTATGGAACGAGGTTTCCGTTTGTTAAGAAAACTAATTTTGACATTAGGTGAATCATTTACCTATATTATCGGGCCAGGTACCTCCTGTCGATTAAAACATATGGGAGTTAAACAATTCAGTTCCGAAAACTGAACAACTAGACTAGCTACACACATGTTTTGACTATAATGGTGAAGGCTTTTGTAGAGCCGGTCACGCTTTTCAGAACTGCTAACAGAAGACTGGTACACAGTGTGTTACAAAACCTGTAGACCAGTGATACTCGACGGCCGTTCTGCAGCACACTATTATGACGCGTGATCCTCTTAGTCGTGCGCGAAATATTGTCAAGATATATATATATATATATATATATATATATATATATATATATATATTAAGAAATGGACAAAGTCCGACATTTTTATGTTTAACGTTCTTTTTATAGATACAAGTATCCATAAAAAGAACGTTAAACATAAAAATGTCTTTAATAAATAAATTGTCCGACTTTGTCCATTTCTTAATATATGACGTCATTTGTTTACATTTGATACGCCATGAGCAGTTATGAATGTACGAGATTCATGGAAGATTGAAGTTTATAAGCAGTAAATTCAACCTTACCAACCGAACGATCCTTTGTGGCCGAGCGGTCAAGGCAATCAGCGTAAATGACGGTTCCGAATAGGATGCAGGTTCGAATCCTGTCAAAGGACGAATATTTTCTATGAAAATTTCTCGCACATTCAGGCCGGTAAATGTTATTTAATACTGTTTATTATAAACAGAGCATTTACTTAAATACTTGTATCTATAAAAAGAACGTTAAACATAAAAATGTCTTTAATATATATATATATATATATATATATATATATATATATATATATATATTGTTGTGACCATTTGGTTAAGAAATAACAAAACACGAGGTTGCAAATAAACAGTGTCTTGAACTTTAAATACAACAGAAGTGTGTTACACGACTTCGGAGTTTGTATCGATTGACCACCATTCAAACTACATCACTGTTGGTATGTTTACCCGCCCCCAGCAGGGTAAATGTGGCACAAGGCCGAGTTTAACTTGGCTCATCGGAGCCCGCAGATTCGGCCAAAAAGTCCCCGTAGAACACGCATAAACGGGTGTGGGTCTGTCTACCGCCCCGGACGTGTGGGTCTGTCTACCGCCTCGTCTGGGTTCCTCTCTGTCCAAGGCAGAGAGATTAACAGGAGATGCGAACAGCCTCAATAGAACAAACTATATCACTATTCCCCCGTGGCTTACTTTTCCTACTACTTTATAGTAAATGGAAGAGTACATAATAGACTCATTATAGGGAATACACTACAACATATATATATATATGTGTGTGTGTGCGCGAGTGTGTGTATGTGTGCGCGCGAGTGTGTGAGTTGAAGTCGTAATGGCACATTGTTAGTATTCAATCTGATTTGATTTAATCAGACTCAATACGATGAACGACGTTGAGTTTATTGTTTAGTAACAGATTCCTCTTAAGTTCATATATTCTTTTATTTAAATTCAAAGCAATCTCATCAGCGAATATTTTTACTATTATTATATCCTATTGTATAGATTCTGCTGTATAAATTCTACTCTATTCTATAAATTCCCTTCTATTATATTATATGAATTCTATTTTATTCTGTTGTATAAATTTTATTCTATAAAATCTATTCTATTGTATACATTCTATTTTCTTGTATATGTGGTGAACCCGACCGTTACCGCGCGGGCCAATGGTCAAAATTTACTCAGCTTCCGCATTCACAGGCTCGGGTACAATTCTTGTCTGTTTTTCTCGGTTTGTGTGTCTGTTGCCTGAGGGAGCCCCGACTGTGTCGCCCTCTGTCAGACAGTGGTCTTGACGATAGCAAGCCAAAGCCTCGGCCAGAGCCAGACAGCGGACTGCCTGACTCCGACGAGGTTTGGTAAACTCGTTATTTATTATTGCAAAAATACAATAATTATGGCACAAGGCCAAAGAGGGAGGAGTGGGTTGAGGCTGGTCCACACTAATTGTTCAGTACCTAGATAATAAGATTCATGAACGTCCCATACATTACAGTTTTCTCACCACAAGAATCTATCCGTTACCATTCACGCCTACATATACTACATTGCCCCCACCCACACACACACAGGAGACCTAGAAAACACTCCATGACATAAAAATTTCTTTATGTACTAATATGTATAAAATATATCGTAACTGCCCATGTATAATACGCATTAAAAAATAAGGAAAATTAGGGGTGCGTATTATGCACAGCTACAAAAAAATATTTAAAAATTGACGTTTCATGGGTTGATTTCAGTTGTGAAATGACTACTCACCACAAACCTACAATCTGACACTAAGATTCGGCGATTGCGACCCCATAAGGATGTCAAATACAATCATATGTACCTAACAATACTTAGCAAACAAGTGGTGCGTATTATGCTTGAGCAGAAACATTTTTCCCCACTTTCAGCATAATTTTAGAGGTGCGTATTATGGATGAAGGCGTATTATAGATGGGGAATTACGGCATATAAAAAGATGGTGGTGGCATGAAATAAGGTTGGGTAAATTCTGTATATCAGCAGAGTTCTCCTGAATATGCGTTCAGGACAATATCCATTAATGGTGAAGATGAATCATACCACAAATAGCACATATAAGCCTCCCCCTCCCGTCGCAAATATGCATATATAACTCACCTAAAGTAGCCTTTTTACTCATAGACTCCGGAGGGTACCTGGTAATTAGGTACTTAAAATTACTGTCTGTCAAAAATGCTATTATTATTATTACTACTACAACTACTACTACTACTAATAATAATAATAATATTTGTGTTAATGTGTACTGTTCACATACTTAGAAAAAACTCTTTCAATAACTTCCTAAGAAAAACTTACATTTCCCTGAGGTGACAGGTGAAAGAGTTGAAAGTAGTAGTAGTAGTAGCAGCATTAATAATAATAATAATATTAATAATAATAATAATAATAATAATAATAACAATAATAATAACCATTTCGGTGTCCATCTGTTCTCTTCTAAAGGCAATGTTGTGGTTAAGTTTTTGTTTGTGTCTAAACACTCTATTTATTCTGCTATTGTATAGCCCATTCTAAACAGAGCGGCAGACATTTATGCCAAGAAATTAAAAGATATATTTTTGTTTTGTTTTGTTCTGAAATTACCTACAAAAATATAAATTCTTTCTTTCTTTTTCATTTTTATTTAGTTTTTAGCAGTTACTCTAGACGTGCAAATAAATGAAGAAAAAAAAGTATTCTCTTAATGTTGGTGAGTGTTGGAAGATGGCGGTACCTGAGTGAAATATGCCCATTATGCAATGTATGTGAATTCGATCAGGCATTCGTTTGTCTGCCTGTTCCTTATTATATGGTCGGTTCAAAGTACAGACGGACCGAAATAGATTTTGTATGTAGTACATAAACATTCACTTTATTTGTTTTTAATTTTTATGAAGCTACTCTCGCAAAATTAACAAAAACAAAACCTTTCTTTATTCAGATAAATTTCCTTTTATTCGATTTTCGTTCACTTTTTCACGAAGATAACCTTTAAAGGATTTTTTTTTACTTTACCGTAACGAAAAAGAAAGTCTTTGTTTTCGCATGCGTAATAAAAGTCGGTAATGAAAACATCAGAGCAGCTTCTAGTTTTCTTATTTTTACTCATTTTTTCTTCTTTCTCTTGCTGTAAGGTTCCTTTCAGTTTGCATGTGAATACTTCAATGAGCTTACAAAAGGATTTGATGGGAACACTATCTGTATCATTGTCCTAAATGAAAAATACATTCACTGTGTAGATTCGCTCTTTGCTCTCTTTACCATTAGATTTCACCGGCTCTATCCTGACAGTGATCCCGCCAAATATGCCCTAAATTGGATGCCCCAAGGTTGCAAAAGACCAAAGGGCAGTTCTAAGAAGACATGGCACACTGCAGTTAAAGAATAACTGAGAAAAAATGTTATATAGGAATAAAGTGTTGCTGCCAATACTTGAGTTTGAACATAGATCGCCAGTGAGCAAACACAAGCGATTCCATTATTGAATTAAGTAGATCACGTGACCATAGACGAAAAGCATATATGGGTATTAGCGTGGCGTTTAGTCTATCCTCTATTATTATACTGATCACCATTTCTATTCTGTCCTCGATTATTATACTGATCACTATTTCTATTCTATCCTCTATTACTATACGGATCATCATTTCTATTCTATCCTCTATTAGTATACGGATCACTATTTCTCTTCTCTACGCCATTCTCTATACTGATCACCATACGGATTACTATTCGGTTGTTACTAATCGAGTGAGTATTATCAAGCAAGTACTATTAGTGCGAGTGTTATTCGAAGGCGTCTGACATCAGTATTGTTCAATTGCATTACTATAGATGTATCTGCGATTACAAAGTCTCTACTACCACAAGCATTACGAAAATGACAACGGGTATTCGTTGACATTACAAAAGTGGCTACGAGTGTTCGTTGACATCACAAAAATATAAAGAAACACGAACTAGATCCAGGCTCCGTGACTTGCCTAAAATCAATCTAAGATGAGATAAATAGTGGCCCTTTGCTGCATGACGGCAGGAGGACAAGTCCATGTAACGTTGCTTCACGATTGAAAAAAAGCGCAAAAAAAGAGATATTAAAGTTAAGCAGAGTATTAAGAAATAGAAAAAATTCGTTAGAAACAGAGAAAAGAGTACTGAACTGTTACGTTATATCTCTCGTTCTATTTAGTAATGCATGCTGGGTAATCTTCTCAGAGATGAAGATGAGACTTCAACCAACAAAAATGTGATTCTACAGAAGGATGCTGGGGATAGCATGGATCGAATATGTGAGCAACGAAGAAGTTTTAGACAAAATAGAAACTTGTACCTAACATCAGGAAGAGAGAATTGACATTTCTAGTGTGCATAATGAGGAAAGAAGGCTTGGAAAATACGATACTCGCAGGACAGCTTGAATGCAAGATGGCCGAGCAAAACAATCCATAAAATGATTAGTGAGCCTGAGTAAATGAATGGTGGAACAAGGTTTAAGAGAAATAACAAAAACACAAAAATTTATTAAGAGCTACGAAGAAAACGAAATAGTGGAGAGCCATGATCGTCTACGTCTTGAGGGATCGCGGGACATAAAGAGGATTTTATTCTATTTTTATTACTTTGTATTCATTTACTAATTTATTTATACTTCCTGTCATTCCATATTATATTTGTTTCTAATTTCTTGGGTCTTTTACCTGCGTTGTGTATATTGTTGTAACAAAATACGATGCTTCTAATCCATTCGTGGGTTTGCAAACAGGATCATTTGGGTTAGGGCATTTAAATAGCTGTTAGCAAAAAAAGGATTTAATCTTTCCCCCTTTTTCCCTTATACCTGAGGATAAAGTCTTTTCAATAAAAAAAAAAAAAAAGAAAAAGTAAAACAAACAGAATCACTAATCATCCGTAATGGCTAACAATAAACAAAACCTCTCTTCCAAAAATAAAAACGCAAGAGGAAGTGTAGGCGAAAACGATTTACGACTGTCGTAATCTATAAAAACGATTTACGACTGTCGTTATCTATAAAATGCTCTTTGCGAGGTGTGTTGTCTTTATTTAGTCCACGTTCACAACAGGAAATTTTTTGCCACCGACGCACCTGTGCTCATAATTTCGTCTGGCAAAAATATCATGAAATAAATTAAAAAAAAAGAAAACGTGGGCGTTCTAAGTGATAGGCAATCATTGTTTAAACGGCGGTTTATCACATCGCGTCCTACGCAAATATTTTTGCTGTATCATTTTATTTTTTATATATTTGTATTAATACGTACTTTTCCTATGTGTAATTAGTAATAGCAGTAGGGTTAGTATTCATATCAATCTTTACTTTGCTTATTGTCTATTTTTCACTATTTTATTGTCTTTTATTATTTATTGTATTTATTAAATTATTACGACTACTACTACTACTACTACTACTCGTCAGGAAATTTTCTTAACCGTTAGAAGACGGCGGTGTCAATCTGTCGGCTGAAAGCCGAATGACGAAGAAGACGACTGGGCCGATCCGTCGGCCCGATAATACAAGCCTCGAGATTAGCTGGCTGGTCTTAGTACTAGCCAATCAGATTGCTTCTCTCAATTCTTACTCGCACATCTGGGCCTTTCAATGACGGTTTCTATGATAGTTTGCTGTGTTCTGTGTTTACATCGATTTTTTTTGTGTGTGTGTGTGTGTTCCAAGTGAGGGCTTGCGAAAACGGTTCCATCTTGGCACTGAAACTGAAAATGAGATTCTGTCTCCAAAGGATTGATGCCCTGTTTTGTTTACTCATGGAGTCAAGCCCCCACCTCATACTGTTAGAGATAACTTCAAGTATGGCAGACTTATCCGCTCACACGGTCTCTACTTAGGTTTGTCCCACTTTGCTAACAAGTGCTACCACGCTGGATCTAGGCAGACCTAGAAACATCAATTAGGAGGTGGTTCCACGCTCCTGTAATCCTCCAGATCAGAGGTCTTGCTGCCGGATGTAGATTATCGGATACTTTCTTTATCAGAGTCCTTCGCAATCTTTCAAAATTTAATACTTTAATTTGTTGTAGTTGTCGATCATTATATCTTATTGTAGTTGTTGATTAATCTCATTCTTCTTCTTCTTCTTCTTATTATTATTATTATTATTATTTCTTTCGATTGTTATTGTATACACATTTCCTTCTTGGTCCCAACCAGAGATCTAATGTCAGAAATGGATTCATGACATTTTCCACTGATCACTTTTTTAAAAAAAAAGAAAAAAACACAACACAGATCACACGCATTTTACATACATAAGGCTCTTCGTAATGTGTAATCTGTACTTGTGAGTACAATTTTTCGTTTTTTCTCTAAGGCATTGGCTACCAGGAATCCCTTCAATGAATCTATCGGAACCTTTTCCAAACAATCCAAAAAGTCCAACTACAACTGGAATTATTGATGTCCTCATGTGCCGCATTTTTTAGATTTCCATTTCAAGATCCTTGTATTTTGATAGTTTTTTGAAGATCTTCAAAGATACATTACAATCTGCAGGGACAGCAATGTCAATGAAAAAGCACATTTTGTTCTTATGGTCTTTGATCACGATGCCTGGGCGATAAGCTTTGATTATTCTGTCTCTGTGTAATACAAAGTCGGATAAAATCGTTACGGGTCCTAGCTCTGTAACCGAGTCTGTGTGATGTTCGTCAGAGTTTCTTGCAGTTTCCTTCGCGTAAAAGTTGCATATTTTCCAGTTCAGACATTGGCCCATTCTATCATGGCGACTTTTATATTCAGTTAGTGCTAACACTTTGTAATCTGATACAAAATGGCCAATTGTTTCTGGACATTTTATCACAGAATCTGTATTTGGGATCGACACAATTTTTCAGTATGCGTAATTTGTAATTTTTTTTTACAAAGTATTGGCCTTGTGCAGCAAAAATAAACCCTTTGGTTTCGGCTTTTAACCCTGCCCTACGTAACCACTGATGAGTACGTGGTTTGTCTACATCATCCTGTTTGCTACGGACCATGAAGAGGCTTATCTTGCCATCGTTTCTGCATTTACTTTTACTTTATTTTTAAAGTTCTTTGGCGCCGCCGTATGTGTATCATTGTTTATTTGCACTTCTTCACCAACTTGAAATTTCCTTTTGAATTTATTGCCATCCTTTATTATTAAATGTTCTTTGACAAATAAAATAACAGTTCTAGTTGAACTAATCCTCTGCCTCTTCCGGATCTGGAAACATACAGACGATCAACATGAGAGAGAAAAAAATCAAACAAAAAAAAATATTTTGCATCGATAAAACCCTTCGTAAAGTGTGAACTTTACTCGTGAGAACATTTTTTTTTGTATTTCTTTAATGCATGGGCTACCAGAGATCCCCTCAATGAGTCTATTGGAAACTTTTTTCCAATCAATCCGAGGACTCCAACTACAACAGAGATTGCTGACGTATGTTTTAATGTGTCACATTTTTGAGATATCGATTTCATGGTTGTTGTATTTTGATAGCTTTTTGAAGATTTTCAAAAATACATTGCAGGGACTACCATGCCAATAAGGAGGCATTTTTAGTTGTTTGCTGTCTTTAATAATGATGCCTGGCTGATTAGCTTTGACTGTTCTATCTGTGTGTATTGTGTAGTCCCATCAAATTGTTACAGGTTTATCATTATTATTATTATTATTATTATTATTATTTAACGATGACTGGATAGAAGTAAAAAAAATGAGAAAAAAAAATTATTGAATGGGTACATAATGGCTGAGCAACTTTAATGGCTGTCCTTAAAAGCTCTAAAATAGTCTCTTATGGACATTAGATGTTTTTTCGGAAAGATGCGACACCTCGTCTCCAAAACCTGGAATTCAGCGAAACCTTCGATCTCTCGTCCGATAAGATTTATAATAATGTCTTTGAATTAAAACTGCTACAAGCATAGGAACTAATATATAATTCCGAAAATTCACTTTGAGACTGCCTCAGTTCCAATCGTAATCTTCGCCTCAAAACTATTTTCTTAAGTAGTAAATGCTTTGGGTACCCAGCACTTAAAGAAATGGCTATATAATGTAAGCATCTAGCAC